TAAAAAAAAAAAAAAAACATTTTAACAGTTATTGAATAGAAATCAATGACATTCTTAAAAATAAAAAATAAAAAAATAAATAATAAGTCTCTTTTTTTCAAAAATTAATTTTTTACCAATTTCTCAAAATACCACTATATAAAGCGTACATATTCTTTTTCTTTTTTTCTTTTTCTTTTTCTTTGTAACTGTCAAATTCAAATACAGGCAGATTTTGAGAGCACCATCTAATTTGACACCACCTCCCTCGTGTTAAGGTAGTTGCTATAACGTGCCTACTTGTTCTACGCAAATTTCATACACCCACCCCTCCCCCTGCCTCTTTGCATTAATAAGTCACTAACGGTGGCCGATGCAATTTTCCTGCCGTCTGCTTCACTTATATCAAACAAATAAGAAATAATTTAATGCTTATATAAATAAAATTTTTAAGGGTAAATTATACTAACCATTCTTATAGTTTGAATTTTGAGTCATTTTGATCATTGACTTTTTAATTGTGTCACATTTGATCATGAATTTTGAATATTATTTTAAATAAAGATAATTAAATATACCATTGCTCAATTTTAAAAGCAAAGTCATTAATTTGATAAAAATACAAACTAATTTAACAAAAATAAAATGTCAAAAAAATACATTTTTAAATTTTTAAAAATTATTTCTACCAATTAAATATAAAATTGATAAATTCTTTAGATATTTATTTACTTATTTTTTTAACCAAATTAATTTTTATTATGTGTTTGGATGATAATCATGTAATGGGTGATTATTTTTATTTTCATTGAATTAGTTTCTATTTTTCTAAAAGTTAAATATGACGACAACTTTGATATTATTATTAAACTAACCCATTAAATCAAAAAATCCAAAACTAAAAACATTTTATATATTAAATATATCGACTACATATTAAAAGTCTAACAACCATCCATTACATGATCATCATCCAAACACATAATAAAATTAATTTGATAAAAAAAATAAATGTCTAAATGATTAATTAATTTTATATAATTTTATCTTTGGTAGGTAGAAATTATTTTTAAAAATTCACAAAATATTTTTTTGACATTTATTTTTATCAAATTAGTTTATATTTTATCAAGTTAATGATTTTACTCTTAAAATTAAGTAATTTTATCTTTAATTATTTTTATTTAAAATTTATGATTAAATGTATCATAATTAAAAAATAAAAAATCAATGTGATACGAGTCCGAAGATATAAGGACCAGTAATTCGCCCAACTGTTAAACAAAATTCTCACACTGTAAATAAATGGTCATTAGTAAAGTAAAAAAGCACGACTATTTGGGATGAGCTAATGGGTGCCTCTATTTACACATTATAATTTATTTCAAGGCAAATTATTTTTAAGAACACATCTTTAATAATTTGGTAAATATATATTTTGCTCATCACACACTACAAATTTACATATTTATTCTTACTCGCACACCCATCCACAACAATATACACACAAAATCTCATATTTACCCTCACTCACTCACACCCCCACACACCCACATTCTTCCATCTCCCCCCCCTCCATTCTCAGTTTCAATCGGTGAACAATGTGTTAGTGCTCAACACAGAGTTAAGCAATGGTGAAGACATCGTTGGTGCTCAAGTAAAGCAGTAGGTGAGTTCTCATTCCACGGATGCACAGTTCTGAAAAAAGAAAAAAAAAATTATTACTGTTCGGTAGTACAGAGTCGAACAAATGTAAGTTGTTCGATTGTAATTTGTTGAACAAATTTAAATTGTTCGATTGTAGTTTGTCGAACAGATGTAAGTTGTTCGATTGTAGTTTGTCGAACAATGACATATTTTTCATCTCTGGTTAACCGAACAACGATTTACCACTCATAAACGAAAACGAAGACAAAAATAATAAAAAAATAACCTTTTCATTGCTTCATTGTTTCGAATGAAAATTGTCAGATGCATCCTTCATTGAATCCAATCAAAATCTTCAATAATACTATATTTTTGATTATTTGTTGAAGGGTTTTTTATTTTGGTTTTAGGTTTTTAGATTCTTGACAGAAAAGATACATAAGGAAGAAGTTTGAAATTGATGATTTATATTATATTTATTCTTGTCCTTTATGATAAATATACAAATGGTGTGTATTATAACTTGTCCTCTATAATCATTTCACTTAAAGTTAAAATTGTAATAAAAAATAAATAAATTAATAATTTGTCTTTGGAAAGGTGATGTGTAAATAGAATGACCATGACTTAGTTCATCATCAGTTGTATACAAGTCTCGGGATTCACCTTCCACCATCCATCTCTCCTCCCCGACCCAAAAAAAAGAAAAAAGACAGAAAATGAAATGGCTTTCGTGACTTCTATTTTAAATTAAAATACACACTATTTTAATTCATAATTAAAAAAAATAAAAAAAACAACTCATATTATTTTAGATAATTTTTTTCTATAAAAAGCCTATTTTTATATCATTTTTCATTAGGCAAAAAAAAAAAAAACAACTCTATTGAGAGGTTAACCTTTTTCATGGGATGTCCTTTAATTTTTTGAAAAAAAAGAAAAGAAAAATTATGCATGAACCATTTATTATTTTTAAACTGTTATACAAGTGAAAAATCAAAAGAAAATGAATAATGCTATATGTACCAATTGATATACTAATTAGTATACCAATTGATGATGTGACATAATTTAAGAAATTTTTGAAATTTATAATGTGATTAATGAATGAGGTCAATAATAATGTCATAACTAGTGTTGGTACATTAGTTAATATACTAATTGGTGCATGTAACACCACAAAAAAAAAATACCAACACTAGCTCCCATAAACTGAAAACTCATGACCCCAATTATTGCGGGATATCATTTAGTTGGCTTTGAATATATTCGATTAGTCTTGTCTCTCTCTTATAAGAATCGATGCAATCTTTATAAAGCTCAGGAGCTGGTTGGGTCAAATGAAAGAAACTTTTGATCTCTGATCATTTTGTTTAATTTAATTCGGTTAAATTTCTTTAAATGAAATCTTGACCATAAGATAATCCTAAACTATTTAGGTGGAGACTAATCAATGCAAAGGGTTACACAAAAGAATATGCTCTCGCATTGTTGGTCTTTTCTCTATAGAAGCCATGTCGTTGACCTATCTCTGTCTTCTCCGTCAAAGATTTTTTTTTATTGTTTTTATTTCCCTAATCATTAGCAGATTAATGTTGTGTTTAAATTTAAGATTTCGATAGAAATTTGTGAAGGGAGAAAAAAAAAATGAGAGAAATAAAAAAAACTTGAATTTTATTTCACATTTTACAACCTTCTTTTTTTTCTCCACAAGTCCCTTATTTGAGATAAATTAAAAGAGTCAAAAAGTCAAAAAAATTATTAAAAAAATTAAAAAAAATCTATACAATTCAAAGATAGCTTATGGAGGAAATCATTGGGACAAAATTATTATTTTACCCTTTGAATTCAATCAAGTTAAAAGTCAAAAAGTAAAAAGAATAAAATTGTTATTTGAATTTTATTACAATATTTTATTAGACATCTTTTCGTAAGAAATCAAAAAATTATAAATAAACATACATATTTTTTTCTCTATTTTTTTAATCAAAAAGTCAAAATACACTTATATAGCACATCCCAAAATCTTGAATTTGAATAAAAAGACTATGTTTAGATTTTAAATTTGAGTCAAAATTTATAAAAATAAATCATATAACAATGAAAAATATCAAAAAATAAACTTTTGTCAATTTGATCCCTATTGTTTCAATGTGATCAATTTCACTCAATTTAACAAATTGTGTTATATTAATCTAACAAATAACGGTTGTTAAATTTGGCGAACAAAAAGTTATTACATGCTCAAACGATGTGTCAATTTGATCCCTATGGTTTTAATTTGCTTGTTTGTCTTTCCGTCCACCAAACCTAGCAGTAGTAGTTTATTAGACTAATATAATATAACCCGTTAAATTAATGAACAAAATCAAACAAATTAAAATAATATAAATCAAATTAACACATCGTATACGCATAATTTACTTCGTTTTTTTAAAAACACTACGGATCCACAATTTAAGTCCTACAACTCACCTGTTTAAACCACAAGACCCATCACACTTCTGTATTTGAGTTTTAGAAGACAATAGGCTAAATATCGATCTTAAATGAAATAATGTTTGGTAACTTGAATTTGTATGACTCGAATGTTTAATTACAACATCATTTTGGGAGTAAAACAACATCATTTTAATACATTCGAACTATTCGAACCATACAAATTCAAACTACCACGTATTTTTCTAAATGAGATAAAAAAAAATTACTCCAAAAACATTAAATAATTTTCACAAAGGAATTCAACTTTACATGATTAAATTTCTAACAAATTTTTTTTTTAAATATATATATATATATATATTAACATAACTACATAACTTATCATGTTAATATTCTCCACAAAAAAAATAAAAATAAAAACAATTGTTCCATGTCCATATGAGCAAATTAGGGGAGACCTTGGGTCTCAATATTTTTTCATTTTTTATTACTTTTTTTTCTTTCACAACCCTTTATATAAATTCATAATCCAAACACAAACTAAGGCCAAGTTTGGCTACAAAGAAAAAAGTGCACTTATTTCATCTTTTTATCTTTTTTGGGTCACATCAATCAACATCTCCTATCTACTTTTTCTACACATAATACAAAAAAAGTCAAAAAGTGCACTTATTTAGTCTTTCCAAACTAGGCCTAAAATTGTTTTTCTATTCCCCTTTTGTCTCCTGTCAAGCTGTAAAATGGACACTGGAATTTCAGGATGCATATCATCATATCCCCCTCGTGAAGAAATTTTACAAGAACCAATTAAAAACTGGCGGCCTAGAAAAGATATAGAGAGATTTAACCCTTACAAGAAACCAATACAGGTCAATGGTGAAGGTAAGTAAAGCATATCTTTTGTTTCTAACAATCTCATAAGATTTTCCATATGACCGACAAATAGAAAAGATGAAATACCAAGAAAATAAAATGAATCGAAACACTTTCTTAGTGAAATGCAATGCTACATTTAAATAATCTTCATAGAGTCTAAACAACAATGGGAAACCAAACAGAGTCTTACAAACTTGCATATTAACATAACCATTCAAATAAATAAAACACATATTAGCGAAGTCCTAACAAAGCTCAATGTTTGAAACCATGAGAGAGGTACCTAATCTTGGGACTCCAGCTCATATTGCTGGAGCAGTTGCTTGCAACCAGACAAGGGCTCATCCTTCATAAACCCCATTGCATTGGCAAAGCGGGTGTCTGAAGTCATTCCGTTGTTTCGGGTAAGGATCACACGTGCACGGTCCCGCCCTGGGTCTGCAGATTGACAGTCACTCTGTGGGCTGCTAACAAGCATTGCATCACAAAGCTGGTCCTTGTGGTCTTCTTTCACCATGATAGTGTATTTTCCCGCCTCATTTGTTTCTCCGTCAATGCTGTATAGGAGTGTCTCTGTGTTTCTGTCTTTGCATTCGACTTTAACCTTGGCACCTATTTAACAAACCATAAATAAGTTAATAAGTTAATTGTCCAAGGCCTCAGATAACAGATTCAATTGATCAGGCTGGTTAATTCAGCATGTAACAAATTCTTAAGGTTTAAAAGTTTGGATGACAAGAATCTATGAAAATGTCATTTTGAGTCACAATGATTCCAGCTTTTGGAACAGTTTGGAATAGGAATGTGACTTCTAATATCTATTTCAACAATAATGACATTCCCAAACTAAATATAAATTTGATTCCCCCACTTCCCCATGAAAATTCATGGAGTACAGTTAAACATTTAGAAGTAAAAAATAATAATTGGGTTTACAAGACTTAGAATTTTCTCATTTTTCCATTTGAACATTCCTAACATGACACAAGAATTTGTTTTCCCAAGTAACATGTCAGGTTTTCCTCCTACTAGGGGTGAAATCGGTTCGGTTCGGTCGGTTTTTTCACTAGTTTTGTACCGAACCGATCATTTCGATTTTTCATATTTGTGAACCGAACCGCCCAGAAAAATAACATAAACCGGCGCAGTTCGGTTTACCACAGTGCGGTGCGGTTTTTTGGCCCCTTTTTTTTCTCCTAGTTGGGTCTCACATTTTGGGCCTATATTTCTATTCATTTTGCATAAAATTTGGACTCAGGCCATGTAATTCCTACATAGGTTTGGGGCCTCACACTTTGAGCCTATTAATATTATATAAGTCGGTTCGGTTCGGTTCGAAAAACAAAAAACCGTAAATCGAACTGAATGCACAAAAAAACATAAACCGAACCAAACCGAACGATTGAAAACTTAAAACACCGACCGAAAACCGTTCGGTTCGGTCGGTTTGGTCGGTCCTTCCGGTTATTCTGTCACCCCTACCTCCTACAAATAATAGCAATGGCTAAAAGCAGGTTACCTTCACAAACTCAACATTAAAGATATTTATTTGTAACAAATTCCAGATATCAATCTCTTGTAATCTATTTGATTAACTATAATGAGATGGAATAGAATGGCCATTCCATAGGCTCCTCTATAGAATGATGATTCTCTTATAATGATAAATGATGATTCCACATTCGCAATGTATTTTTCATTATTTTTTAGTCAACCAAACATTAGAATGGATATTTTGATAGAATGGTAATTCAATTCCACTTCATTCAAGTAAATCAAACACTACTTTATGATCGCACCCCCCTGATTAATATAGGTCATGTAAATGTGCATAATCATGTGTAGTAGGCCATTCTCCCTTGATTATTTAGGGTCAAATAAATGCCAAGATGACCTTAGTTCAAGAGTCCAATGCTATAAAATTTAATGGTAACATGTCAGGTTTTCCTCCTACAAATAACAGCAATGGCTAAAAGCAGGTTACCTTCACAAACTCAACATTAAAGATATTTATTTGTAACAAATTCCAGATATCAATCTCGTGTAATCTATTTGATTAACTATAATGAGATGGAATAGAATGGCCATTCCATAGGCTAATCTATAGAATGATCATTCTCTTATAATGATGAATGATGATTCCACACTTGCAATGTATTTTTCATTATTTTTTAGTCAACCAAACATTAGAATGGATATTTTGATAGAATGGTAATTCAATTCCACTTCATTCAAGTAAATCAAACACTACTTTATGATCGCACCCCCCTGATTAATATAGGTCATGTAAATGTGCATAATCATGTGTAGTAGGCCATTCTCCCTTGATTATTTAGGGTCAAATAAATGCCAAGATGACCTTAGTTCAAGAGTCCAATGCTATAAAATTTAATGACGCCTTTAACGTTGTGTTTGGTTAGAAGATTTGGAAAATGATTTAAAAAAAAAAAAAAGAAAAAAATAAGTAAAATATGAATAAAATATACTTACATTTCACATAATTTCACACATCTTTTCTATTTGCAAATCATTTCTTAAATCCTTCAACCAAACACAACATAAGAGAAAGATGTATTACACTTGCATATTATGGACTAACACAATCAGGTAGTGGCTTTAGCTGGTAGGGGTAGACCTGGATCTAGTTGCTAATATGTGGCTCAGCTCAGTACAAGCCCGACCCAATTTCATCACTGCTCTGTATTGTGGAAGACCATCCAATGTAAATGCCATAGTAGGGGGTGGTCTCGGATTTTTATTCAGTTGAGGCAAAATATCACGCACAATTGTTTTTTAAATAACCCCAAGGTTAGTCGTGATCTGTGATCTTAAACTCCAAGGTTGTGCTTGAATCAAGATTTGGGTAAGGATTTGAATAAGGCTTTTCCCTTTTCAAATTATTATCCAAATTCATTATCCAAACACATAAAAACACAATCTGTTCCGCTAAAGAAAACATTTTCGTATTTTCTAGTATAGATATAATAAAAAACGAAAATCAATGAAAAATATTTTCTATGATTATTAGAAAACAATCCTATTTGGACAACAAATAATTTTCAGTTTTAAAAGGCGAATAAAAATTTTCAAACTAAAATTTTATTAATGGCACCACACACCAGCACCACCACTCTCAACTCCACTGCCATCATCACCATCATCATCACCGCCGCCATTGCCCCACCACCATATTCATTAAAAAGAACATAACGTAAAATTAAAAACAGACTTATTATTCTTTTTTAACGGCGCATCGAACTAATCTCCAACCACACGCAAAGCACCCCCACACACCTGGATCGAACAAATCTCAGGCAACGCCCACAGGCGTGACCCCAAGGAGCGGATTACTCGTAATGATAGTTGATCCTGAGACTTACGCTGTGTTTGGTTGGAAGATTTGAAGAAAGATTTGGAAAGGCATTGAGAAAAGTTTGGTGAAATGTGAATAAAATATACCTATATTTCACCTTCTTTCACACACCTTTTCCATTTCCCTTTCCAAATCCCTCCCCAAATCCATCAACCAAACACAGAATAAAAAAAGACTTATTATTATGTGCTAGCCTATAATTATATGAATTTTTGGTTTCTAGGATCTTGGGTCCCAAAACTGAAGTGATCATCTACTTATTTATACTCACTTAAGGCTAAAAACCTAACCATCAAATGCAGATCCAACCGATCTCTCTCTTTGGACAGTCCCAAATTACAGATCTAACACAGATCAACCTCAGTGCACTCTGAGAAATGACTCAACAATATATTACATTATACCTAAAGTTGTATTGATTATATAGATCTGAACATACAAGTAATGAATCAACGGAAAAAAGGAGCAGATGAGAAACCAAAATGCAAAGAGTGTACCTGAAATGGGGGTGGTGAGGGCGGTTTCGTAGCCAGCACGGCACGTGTCGCAGTAAACCTTACCCTCCAGGACAAGCGGGTTCGCCGCATGCCGAGCGGCACTAACGAGCGCCGGGAGCACACAGAGCGCCAGCAGCAACACCATTCTCGCCATTGTTAGAGAGGGAGAGGGAGAGAGAGAGAGAGAAAAGAGGAAAGTGCAGTGTGAAGTGTGGGAGGAAGAGGAGGATTGAGTGAAGTGAAATAGTGGGGAGGGTTGGATTTTGTGCTCACGCGGCAAATGAGGAGATGGTTTGGATCGGTCCAGTAAGGGGGTGCCACGTCGATGATGTGGTTTTGGGGAATTGAGGTGGGTGTTTTGATTGGTGGGAGAGGAGGCGATTGCGGATAAGGCGAATGTGAGGGTGTAGAGGGAAGTAATTGGGATGGGTGGGAGGGAGTGTTTGAACGCGTATTCAGCTGGCAGTGGACCCCGGTTGTGTCGGTGGTCACATGGAGAGGACTCGGATGAGCTAACAACCGTCAACCGCAAAAATTATTTAATGTTTCGTCAAGGTAACGTTTTGTGAGCCCATGGCGCACTAGTAAATGCCTGGCGATTCCAATATAAGGGCATCGCGTGCGAACAAATTTTTTTAAGTAATTTTTTGATTTTTTAATTAAAATATGATATAAAAAAAGGAATATATTTCAAATGATTTTTTAATTTTTTATAAAAAAATATATAAAAAGTATATATAAAAGAAAATTTTTGACATTTTAATTTTTTTAATAATTTTTTAATTTTTTAACTAAAAAATCACTCGTCAAAAGTGACGTCCAGTTCAAAATTTTTTGGGCTAATGTTTTGAGCAGAAATGATACATTTTCTGATTTGGTAGCTTTAAAAAGTATTAATAATGTAAAAAATTAAAAAAAATATCAACCAAAACATGATAGGCCTTGTTTGGTTTGGCTTTGAAAGAAGATTTTGGAAAAAAAATTTAAAAATTTTGTTTGGTTTATAATTTTTTTTAAAAAATTTTCAAAATCACTTTCTCTCTCCTACACATCAACCAATCACTTTTTCTCTTTCATCTCTACTTTTCAGTAACTTTTTCTCTCATATATATCTACTCAATTATAACAAAATATCAAATCATTTCAAACTCCAAAACTATTTTCAAAATATACAACCACACAAACTACAAAAAATTTCTAAACTCTCTTTCTAAAATATTTTTTAAAAATTTATCTCCCAAAATCAAACCAAACAAGGCCCATATTACATATGACTCATATATTAGAATTCTTAATTTAAAATTCTTAATATTTTTTCATGTTTTGGGTGTAAGGATGTTAAGTCTTAAATTAATTCTCTGAAAATTAAGTTTTTATTTTTATTTTTCGTATTTTTTTTAGTGTATTTATAATTTTTATTTTATTTTTTTAGATGCACCTTACTTAGATATATTTAAATAGTAAAATATTTGTAAAAAAATATTTTTAAAAATTAATAAATACACAAAAATATGAAAAATATACTAAATTTTCATATATATATATATATTGTTGCATTTTTGGTATTTGATGAATTTTGTAAAGATTTTTTTTTCTATATATTATACGTTTTAAGATATTTAGGTTAAATGTAGAGAGATTTACCAATAAATCCCAAATGTTAAACTTATGAACCAATTGGCAAAAAAAATATAAAAAATGAAAAAGTATAATTTTCAAAAAAGTGAATTTTGGAAATGAATACCAAACAGAGTGAATGTTATTTTCACTGAATTTGGGCTTGCTTATTTGTGCATGTCGGTTGACATACCGGTTGACAAAGGTCACAACTGTAGTTAACAAGGGTGATGCCAGTTGTCCGGAAAGTCGTCCAAGCAATCATTCGGCTTACGTAATTTAGACAATTCAGTCAAGTCCAAATTCGATGGATCAATTATTTTTCTTAAAATAGTTAAAATTCTTAAAATAAATTTTTATTTTTATTAATTAAAACAAAAGACAACTGGTTTGGTTTGGATTTTCAGAATTCACTTTTTTAGAAAATTAGAATTTTTTGTTTTTTTTTTGTTTTTTTTTCACTGATTTTTTTTAATATTCTAAGCAATTTTTAAAATTTTTAGATACACCTAACATAAATATACTTAAAAGATATAATATTTATGAAAAAAAAAATCTTTAGAAAATTCACTAAATACCAAAAAGATATTAAAAAAAATACGAGAATTTGGTACATTTTTAGTATTCTTGTGTATTTATTAATTTTTTAAAATATTTTTTTACAAATATTTTATTTTTTAGATACATCTAAGTAAAGTGCATCTAAACAAGTAAAATAAAATTACTTAAAATTTTAAAAATATTCACTAAAAATAAAAAATAAAAATACAAAAAACAAATAACTTAATTTTTAAAAAATTTAATCTAAAAAATTGAAACTAAACAAACTATATAATTTTTATATTAAATTTTCAAGAGAAAATAATACATGTGTTAGAAGGTGGATGGCGTGGATTATTAATCTAAGAATACCAAATAATCTCTCCTTAGGTTGTGTTTGATTTAAGGATTTGGAGAGTGATTTGAAAAAGAAAAGAAAAAAAGATATGTAAAATTATGTGAAATATATGTATATTTTATTCACATTTTACCTACTTTTTTCTTTTTCCTTTTAAAATTTCTTCCAGAATCTTTGAACTAAACACGACTTTAGTAGAGAGTAGAAGTGGACAAACATCGGGCCAGGCCGGTAGATCTGTCCAAATTTGGTTCAAAAAATAAGGGAAAATTACTAAGAAGTCTTTTTTGAAAAATGTGTAGTCTATTTAGTCCCATAACCTTTTGTTTATACCCAAAAGTCTTGTAACGTCATTCTTCTTCTCTGGCTCTTTTCTTCTCTGCCTCTTTTGCTCTTTGTGATTTCCGGCGATCGTTGACGGGTAACCATATCTTTCTTCTTCTCTTTCTCTTTTCGATATATAATCACTGGTGACCGACGACTACCATCGATTGGGATTCACCGACAATCACTGACCGCTGACTCCTTACGTCACCCTCACCGACGGTAAAGAAGATACGTTTCCGACGAAGAAGATGAGTAGATCTACATCAGATTTTGCTAGATTTAAACAAAAAATAATTGCCGGAGTACAATCCTCTCTCTCTATATCCGGCTTTCTCTTTCGATCTCCTATGTTTTTTTTTACATTTTATCTGCTATACACTTCTCTTTTTCTGTTCTAATGGTGAAAATTTTCAAGTTCTGAACAAATTGTTTTCGAGTTTTAGTTACAGGCGGTGAAAACTGTAAAATTTTGCAGTTTCAAATTTTTTGGGTGCTGGAATGAATCATGGTTTAAAACTGTAAAATTTTACAGTTTCATAACATATTTTTCAATTTGATTAATAAGGATAAATGCTTAATAGATTTTTGCTTTGCAACTGTAACATTTTACAGTTTCAAAACTTACTTTTCAGTTTGATCAATATTGGAGATTATTTGTTTAAACCTTACAAAAATTAAAAAATAGCATATGTTTTTCCCATTGTTGCTGTTTTTTGACGTTCCATTTTTTTTCTTTTTAATTTATCAATATTTAGCACATTTTGCTATGATTTTTTGCTCTAATTTCTCCATTTATTCTTTTTTTTCCCGACAATATTCTAGATATTCCGGTGAGTCTCCAATGATGTTCTTAACGTCCAGCGAACGTTCTGAACATTCCTGCGACTTCTATTAACGTTCTTAACACTCCGGTGAACTTCCGGCGATACTCCGGCGACTTCTCGACGGTACTCCGTCAACTTCTTGATGATGTTGAACATTCCAACGAGTATCCGATGACCGTTTGACGGAAATCCGACAGTAGTAGGATTTAACAGTGTCCGTAAATTATAAAAAAAAAATAATAATAATTTTGGTGACAATTAAAAATATATATGACTAATTGGTACAAATGTTTTGTTTGAGGATTAGATAGGTCTTGGACTTTATGTGCCTGTTTGGTGCAGCTTAAAAGCTGGTTATTTCAGCTTTCAGCTTAATTTAAGCTATTTTGATGTGCTTGGTTTAACTTAACAATACAGCTTATAGCTTTTTGTAAGTTAGAAATCAGCTTATTCTTTGAGTGGGGCAGGAGATGCTTAATTTATAAGTCAGAAATCAGCTTATTTTCATAGTTATAAACTATAAGCTGTTAAGGTATAAGCTATAAGCACTTTCCCACGGCTCTACCAAACAAGGCCTATATATGGGACTTATTGGTAAGTTCCCAAAAAAATAATTATAAATCTCAAGCCCAACCATCACCATCAGTCTATGTGTTGAAAAAATTAAAACATTCTATAATTAAATTCAATCTAACATTATATTTCGTAAATAAAGTTACTAACATCATTATAAATTGAAATTTTTTTAAAATAAATTTAATCATACATCATTATAAATGTGAGTTTCAATAAAATCAACAAAAACAAAATTTAGATCCAAACCAAAAAAAAAAAATGTATTATAAATAGATAAATAAATAAATAAATAATTTAATAACAAACCGTGCCGAATTAAGTTGGGTTAAAAATATAAATCTCAAATCTATCCCCGTCCCCATAAATTAAAACAATAATATTTCTAAATCCCAAAGAAATAAGACTGAACCGGATAAAGTGAACGACCACCGGCTCATGTGCACCCGCAATAGAGAGGGTGGGACGGGCCGTGATCGTCTTAACTCAGTTTAATTCAACTTGGTTGGCATTTCTTTGGTTATTGAATTATTAAAATTGTTTTTTTTTTTAACTTTGTAATAATGTAAATTTTTAATTTTTAATTTTATCAACTTAAATCTTAATATTTTGATTTATTTTCAATCTAAACCATCTATATATTTTTCTTTAGTAAAACTAATAAAAAAAATATTTTAGTCATTAAATTCAATAAAAAATGGTATTTTAGACATTTTATGTATGCCTAAAATGATTAAAATACCCATTTTTCTTTTGTTTGAATTTTTTTTTAAAAAAAAATCAGTAGAAACAAAAGAAGTTAACAAAAATCACTAAAAAAAATCAATTTCGAACACCTTTTGATTTTTTGGGATTAGGAAATTATTGCCTAACTGTAGTCATCATTAAATATTGATTTGATCTTTATATGTTATTATTATTATTTTTTGTGAAATTTTCTATACTTACTTAATTACACTAGAAAATAAATAAAAA